CAAACTGAACTGGACCTGCAGGCTCCCTGACACTTGCTGGCACATGCGGGCTACGTGCCATCTGGCAGGGCCTTTGTCCCCTCCCTGTGAGGCCGTGGAGGTGAAGGGAGAGGAGAGGCTACATGGCCAGGAGGGGACATTTACCTGTCCGCCTCTGCAACCCTTCAGTGAATACAATGTCACCATCTCGCTGCCACCCAGCACGATCCTTTTCACGTGGTTGATCAGGACAGAGCCAACAGGTATGTGTGCACGAGGACATGAGAGAAGAGGTAGTCCTGGGCTGTGTCACAAATGAGGAAGGTGGGTAACTGTGCCCTTCCCCCAGCAGCTCAACCTGATCATCCGCTTCTTGCAGTGATGGTCCTGGGATCGGGGTTATTTGGAGCCCGTGGAGCTCTGGGGAAGGGACTGTGCAGGGCCCTGGAGCAGGGCACGTGCCCTCCTCACCCCACCATTGCTACTGCTGCAGCACATGCAGCCATAGGGGGGGACAAATCCTGCTTGGAGAGGGTCCGTTTGCAGCCTGTCCCCTGGGCCAGCAGCTGCAGGCACCCTGCTCTGGGCTCAGACCCTCCTCACTGGCCCCGTGCATGACCCTGTTCTCCTGTGCTCCCAGTGCCAGACAAACTGGAGAAGCTGTGGCTGGATCCCAGCACTGGGTCCCTCAAGTGGAATGCGCTGCCCTCCTGCAAAGGGGAGATCATCGCATACCAGGTACCAGCGGACCGTGGATAGCCTCTGCTGTCCTTCCTTATCCCACACCTCCCCGCCTGGAGTGAGTGGGGACAGCAAAGCTGTGATGACCCATAGTTCCCAGCCATTCCAGCTGAATATCTAGCTGTGACAAGTATGAGCATTTTCTGTCTCATCCTTGACATTTGTCCTATTACGTAGTTGCCCAGAGAGGTGGTGGGTGCTACCTGCACTATAGGGTTCCTCCCTGAGTCCCCTCAGCCAGGGGTTTGGCAAACTTTGCAGCTCAGTCTGCAGCACCTGGTGACGTGTCTGCTGGGGTGGCCTGCCATGGTTTCCTGTGCCTCTTGCGTGCTTGTTTTTAGTTCCTGCCACAGAGAAGCCTGTGGTTTGAGTCATCCTCTGAAAATACCCCTTCTTGTGCATGAATTGCATCCTTACTTTGAGTTTTCTACAGTGCATGGCACTACCCTTACCAGCATGCCCTACGTTCTCTTTGAGGACAGACCTCTCACTGGGGTGACACAGAACCCAACATATTGGTACTTCGTGCCCCCCTTAACTCTTATCTGGGGAAACTGGAAACAGGGACCCTGAAGGCATTCCTTGTGGGTCTGTTCCAGCTCATTCCCTGCTCCCAGATACCTCTGTTTATGAAAAGAAACTTTTCTTCCGCTTTCAGTTAGCTCCTTTTTTGCACATTCCCACGATGCTGTTTCTGTAAAGACCCCAAGAGCAGTGAGGATGGTCCAGGATCTCATGAGAAATTCAGGTGTTGCCTTGGCAAATGGGGATCCTTGGTCTGTATGCTTTGGGAGAACATTGCCTTCCCCCTTTTATGTAGACAAAGCCTTCGGAAACGATCCTTGCACGTGAGGAAAGAGAAGTTCAGGGCCCCTCTTGTGGGGAGTGTCAACACAGTGCCTGCAGTGTTGCCATATCCTAGCATGACCTAGCTTCAGGCTCATTACACGGATACACACCTCTTCAAACAAACACCCTCCCTCTTGCCACCAGCTCTTCACAGAAGCTTGGTCCTTTGCTCACATCTTGAGTGTTGGCTCCAAATTCCTGTCTCCTCCTCTTGTCTGCTTTGAGGTGCACGCGTGGGCTCAAGACTTGTGGCTCTCCAGGAGCCTTCCACGACTGGGGCAGGTGCAGGGAAGGGGAGGCTTGCAGGGGTGCTTTGCTCTGCCTTGCCTTTGTTCTGCTCTGTGGGCAGGTTGCAGAGGGCAGGTGGGAGCTGCTGCCCTCCGGCTCTGTCCCCAGTTGAACATCACGACCAGGAGCGCCCAGGACGGCAGCTTCCTGCAGATGGAGCGGCTGCAGCTGAGCAGCTCCATCACCGAGCACCTGCTGTCAGTGCACAGCCCTGGTAGCAGCTACGTGGTGACGATGCGGGGACTCACGGCCGCCGGAGTCGGGGCTGCATCGCTCTGGGAGTTTCAGACCAGCAGCTCGGGTGAGGCTCCTGCTTCCCCCGGGTGGCCCCGGCTGTCGTGCCACCTGCTGATGCTCATCGCCTGGCTCTGCCCCTCCAGACACCCCGCAGGCCCTCGACAGCAGCTGC